CTGTAAAAAAGTTTCCGGAGGAAGTGTGCAGAGTGGTGAAGGCTTGTTTGCTTTTGGTATATGAGATGATTCTGAAATTTGTTGTAAAGGATCAGAATCTGTCAATTGTTGTTTTGATTCGATTTGCTCATCAGATGAAGTTGATCTAGCTTTAAAACGTCTTGTCTGGACCATTTTTTTAATTTTGGGAAACCTTTTTTAGATGAATTATCTTTTTTAATCGATTGCTATCTAATAATATCTAAATAAAAATATTGATGAATGCTTTTTACCTTTACCTTTTTTTATGAAATAAAGAATAAGGATTCCAAAGTATATAATATTAATTATTTTCAAAAATTTTTTTTTCTTTTTTTTTTTTAAATTGAAAAGAGATCAAGAAAAAAAAGAGCATTGAGATTTTAACGTAGTTATCTATTCTTTTATCTACAAAGCAGGACAGTGCGTTAAATCTGATGTAACTTTGTGACGTTATGATTTAGGCAGTCGAGTACCCAGAGTCTGAGAGTATGATAAAAAAGAAGTTTTTAACCAGATCATTGCAATAACTAATTAATTAAATTAAATATATTAAATATTGATATAAATATAGATAAAATGAAATTAATTCAAAACATTTTCTAATATAGTTATATCATTGGTAAACTTGTATGATTTATCAATTCTAATTCTAACTGTCTGTTTATAGTAACGACAAGTTAAAAAAAAAAAAAAAAGACAAAACGTAAACCATCATGATTTACTGTGCAGAGTATCTTGGGGATCTTTAGTTAGATTCTAATACTCTTTTGGAAATGTATAAAGAATATGATCATGTTGTGTACCAAATTATTCTGCCATAATGTCGATATAAAGGATATAAAGTTAATTTATAAAGTTTACGCAACTTTTTTTCATTCATTCATTCATTATTAATATACTCCCTTTCCTTTTTCACGAAATGAACCCTTCAAACATAATGTGTACTTTAAATTCATATGTAAAAAAAATTTTCCGTTACTTTTTATATGTATTTCGATATGTTGCATTTGTTGCATTTATTGTTATGTAAATATTTAAAGTAGCGCCTGGTCAGGTGATACCTTAGATATGATATCTACACTAAACTCGTAAAATTTAAAAAACACTAAATTAATGCATAAAATATATTTAATTAAAGTAATTAACGTTAAGATTGTACGTATATCATTTAATTTCCATGACAATAACTTTTATTACAGTATTATAGTTAAAAACACATAGGTATATATGTGAATTTTTTCTAGAAAATGTTTATAATATAAAGAAAATCCAATAAATATACATTATGTCAAGCATGCATTCAATTCTCAAATTTAATTAAATTCTCATTCAACTTTTACATATTCAATTCTTTCACATTCAATTCAATTCTAAAAATAATTAAGCTAACCATGCAGTAAATTCCATATCATAAGGTTCAATATCACTAAAATGAACTTCATTTATAACTCTAAGAGCATCTTCTATCGCTTTATCAGTAACCATAAAACACCAATTGACAGTTAAATTCATTAAATGCCCAGATCTTTTAGCATATTTAACAATTTCGTTAATATGTGCATCACTAATCATAAAACATCCATATAATCCCAAAAATCTAATAGATGAATCCATTTTTTCAAGAAAAGTTCTAAGTAATTGTGGTGAAACAGAAACATTATAAAGTACTAATCGATTTATTGATAAAGGCATCTTGATTGCTAATCGTTCAAAATACATTGACATTTCTTTTTCGTCAAAGTCCAATGGATTTCCAGCAGGATCACCACCTTCTATACAAATAGATTCCAAATTTGAACAAACATCCAATAATAATAAGAATGATTCAAAACTTTTACTATCACCAGCAGAGAAACAAACAGTAATTCCAGTTAGATTTTTCACGAATGGTCTCATACTAGTGAAAACATTTCGAATATTATTTGTTTTTGTTGCCACTGGTAGTGATATTCTCTTCAAATTTCGATAAGTATTTTTGATAATTTCGATTATCACCTTTTCCGTGAATCCATCATAAACAGCCATAGCTAATACGTTTAAATTTTGAAGGGATCCAGTTGCTAGAGGTTTAGTATTTTCTTCAGTGATACTATCACAATTAAAAAAGCCCAATCTTTCAAGTTTTGTACAATCAGCAAGAGGTTGAAGAGTTAGACATTGATGAAATTTACAACAAAAGAATTGTACAGTATGAAGGGAACGTTTTTGAGTAGATAAAGCTTCAAGAAGCTCAGGGGTGATTACAAAGACTTTTTCATTGTAATAAACGCTACGAAGTCGAAAGTCTTTTATAGCCTTTTGAGATCTAATTAACTCATTCAAAGGATGAGTTTCATTTGATGTTTCAATTAAAGAAACCCATAATTCTTCTATTGAATGACAAGTAGATGAAATACAGCGTAACGTATGACCGTCACAACAATAATCAATATGTAAAGTTCTTAGAGCTGAATAACCTTTATTGGTACAACTATCGAAAGAAAAATCACCATTATAGTGATAATCATCAGATTGAATAACAAGACTTTCGACGTTCGGACTCTTATTCATAAAAAGTCTAATAAGATTATTTGAAAACCACCTTGCACAAAAATCTTTTTGATCATGTTTAGTCCAAAGGGCGTCGTCAATAACAGAGCCTATCCATTTCTTAACGAGATCATTAATACTATTACAACTTAATTCGCGAAGGAAAAAAGGATAATCGAAGGTTAACTTTGAGGAATTGATTTTCAATAATTTCTTCAACACAGTCTTATCATCTTTTAGGAGCATTAAATCCGAAACATAATCAGGTTCAGGATCAGTTGGTAGGCAGCGAATATAAGTACTGATGAGTTTGTTTGTGTTTTTATCTTTAATAAGTTTAAATGGATTTCTCCATAATATTGGAACCACAGTTCTACACCAAAACCGATTTACAAGTATAGATGAAAATAAGGCATCTTCATCATCTTGAATAAATTTAAAAATATTTTCAAGACATTCTGGTAAAAGGAACATTGGTGTATTCTTATTTATTTTAAAAAAAGAGAGAAATTAAACAGTTATACTTTAATGTTGTTTGAGCACTATTAAAAGTCATTAAAAGTCAAATAACTTACCATTTTATTATTATGATTATTACCGTATTTTACTTTTTAACATATTTTTCAATACTTTTTTTGATCTTATTCAGTTATTTTTATAGCCACCTATTAATTAGTAATCGGTATATATATCGATATATAATTCAGTAATTAGTGAAAAAAGTATTATTCCCTATTTATATAATAATGATCTAATTAAAAAAAAAAACCAATCATAAGATTTAAGTGGTTTCACACGTGCAATATTTAAAACAAAATACGTGACAATAATTAATATATTTGACATGAATGTATCGGTATGTAATTCAAACAAACAATGCTGAGTACCTTATTCTACTAAAAATATTGGTTATACTATATCTCAGAGATTGATAGAAGAATATATTTAAGATACATAGCCAAATTTTATAAAAACTTTAAGTCAGATCGAAGAATTTTGCCCTCGAAAATTAGATTTTCGGTTATTGTTACGTTTAGGGTGTCTTATTAAACAACACAAGCAATTGCCAATCGCCGTGTGATCGAATAAACAAAATTAAATAAACAAAATCAATGATCGGTGGAGCTTATTACTTGTAACACTTACCTATAACGATTTTAAAGATTCGGTTTCAACTTTAGATGTAAGTAAATGTGGCGTAATGATTCAAAGATGTCAGAATGGCGAGAATGATAAATAAGGACCGTGGACTAAAAAGGATCTGCAAGTTGTCCAATTGACCTTGACCTCGACTGTTTTGGTAGTATTGTAATTTAGGATGTTTTATGCATAGGGGGTTGTTCATAACCAAAGATGTCGGCTTTTTACTTCTTTTTTAAAATACATTATATTACGTAATACTGCCCTGTATCTGGCCCAAGCGCGTGATTATAATATAACTTAATTATCGACATCGGGAGGTTTGTAAATTGAGTTAGTAAATTTTCCTCAGCATAGGATTCCTCCTGTTCATTATTGCATCATATTTGTATAGATGGAAGGCCTTAAAAGTTATTGAAATTTTTTTGTTTATTAAATATAGCAATTATATGTATAGTTTATTTAAATTTTAATGAACTATATATAGGAATTTAAGTGAATTCGTATATAAACCCGTTTTGGGTTGATTTCATCATATCGATATGTAGATCCTAACCCTAACCCTAATTTTATTAAATCCACTTAAATTACAATATATGGACGTGGTTCATTAGTTACGTTAAAATTACATATGTACGTATTTACTATTTAATATGCATAATTACATATGTACGTATTTACTATGCATAATCACAAATTTTAATATTAACTATTTTATCATCATACATAGCACGTAATTATATATTAATAATTAACTCGCAAGTAACTTGCGAGTTAAATTTTCATGATTCGAAGAATGATAAATTCGAATTATTCGAGTCACGAGTTGACGAGTCCAGTTACTACTCGTGCATAATGTTAAAAGTTCGGTCTCGACCTTATGTTCTTAAAAAGATTAGTATAGATCAAATTTGAAACAAAGGGGTTAATGAGGTCGAACTAGTTCTTATCAATATTGGGTCAGGACTCCGAATAATCTATAGATTCATAGACAACATTTCGTATAATTGGCTGATGTAAATCAATTACCTTATGTACTTTTCAAGAACGTGTCATTTTAAAATTCGACGTAAAAATCATCTTTAGCTTCAAATGAACACTAATATTAACTATACAAAATAATTTAAAATAATCTCTGAATTTGATAGATTTTGCTTAGAAGATAAAATATACCTCCTATTTATTGGGCTGGAGCGGAGAACAATCCTTCAATGATTCCTGTGGTGAGCAGATTGAAGGAATGTATACTGTATAACTGAAGTTATAATTCCTTTGCTTCGTTCAAGTTTGGGAAACCTTCCCAATGGCTGTATATATCTAAGTACGGTTGAACGCCAAAGTTTAGCAAGCAAAGCTTAATGGAATATAGGAATAAGTAAGGTGCATGTGGGGAAGAAATTTGATATTATGGGCTTGTTAAACCATAATAAAAAAATTATAAAGTTGTTATATAATGAGTCTTCATACATTATCTACAATAATTTAACAAAAGATAAAGTGAAACTATGGAAAAAAACTTTATATAGGACAAGTTTTATAGGATTATCATGTAGACCACCCAGTAATCAATTTGGAATTGTAGAGATTTAGGTTAGCTGATACAGTTATGTGATTAAATGTTCTTGTAAAGAATTCAGCTAGTATACCATCTTAATTATGCTGAAACCTACTACTGTATTTGTTCGAGAGGATAATGAAAACATTTGAAGCCGAAAAATTGAAGATAATTAAATGAAGAAAAGGAAAATAAACACTAATTGAATAATAATCAAAAGGATAATGAAACATCTGTGAAACAGAGAAGTTAGAAATAGTCAAAATGAAGGAAGCTGACTGCCATAATGCTCAGTGTGAGATTAAACAGCACAAGCAATCAAAATTATAGAGAATATGGGGCTTTTCAATAGAAAGGAAGGAGATTTCTTCTAAGTAAAAGTTTTTTAAACTTTAAATTAAAATATCTTAATAACTATTAAATTAAATTTAATAAATTTTTTTTTTATTTTAATTCTATAAAATTATAAAATTAAAAAAAAATTTTTTATTAAATTTAATTTAGTAGTTATTGAGATATTTTAATTTAAAATTTAAAAAAAAGGTACTAAAAAACTTTTTCCTCCTTTTCTATTAAAAAGTGCCCATATGTGTAATGTCGGAGACGTTTGCTCAAAGATAAAATTTCCATTCTCTTACATTGTTCTTGATATTTAATTTTTTTTGAATTTGTTTTTTCATCTTTCTGTGGTAGATTTTATCACGGTAATTTGTGATTTTTGAAGAACCAGTAGGCAAAACACTATTATGATTTTTTGAAGATAAGAATTCACTAATTTCTTACAACAAATATGTGATGAAAACCACCTTCAGTTTAATGAGATAAAAAGATGCATTGGTAGGTTGTATAATATCACTTCCAAGAATTTCCTGAGCACAAAGAAATTACAATAAATGCATAATCGCGGTCCAATAATGAAAATTTATCTTCAGGTGCTATTTTTGAATATTTTCAAATCTAATAGAAATACGCGCTCTTTACTTACACAATACAAACAACAGGGCATTAATATCTTCACTTATAACACTCACAATATTCCAAAAAAATCAAAGCCTTGGTTGCTTTCTTTCAATGACAATGAAATCATTATCGGCAAAATCCGCACACATCTTACAAACTCTAATGAAATCTCTATTACTCATTGGCAAACTAACATTGATAATCAACATACTGAATATTACCCACTCCCTCCTGTGATTTGCAGCCCATGTACCGGTT